ATGTGCGCGAATTACGGACAACAATCATCGTATTGAAGGTGGGTCTGGTGAACAAAAACGCAGGCCCCACACGCACTCGAACCTCTGCCCTCCTGAATGCTAGACCGCGTGCTTAGCCGTTAAGCCACATCAGACCACGGAGGAAGTGACTTCAATATTTCCTTACACCAATTAATCACTCATAATACTAATGAATAATAGGACTTACACGTTTCTGAGGTGCAAACAAATTCGTTACTTGGATGAATTGACGATATATTGCTTCAATATATCATGCATACCTAAATCAAACAAGAAAAGGGTATTTGACACAACTGTACTTGATCCGCATACTCTACACATTTTTTTTGCTTCTTAACCGTATATTCTTTTCCGTTTTGTGGAGTACTCTGATGCACCCTTGGTTACGCACCTAGTTGTAAAACACGGTCATCACAGGCTCAAGGTCACTCGTTTGATCGATTTTATTAAAGGGTCCAACTTCTACCAAGTTCATCCTTTTACATATATGCATTACAAAAGAGTATTTTTTTTGTTTTCATGGTTTTTCGTGCACAAGATATCTACACTATATCTATTTCCTTCCAGAATACCAGTCCGTTCTGGAGGCCAAGCACTTACATGGGACAGAACAATTATCAATTACATTTATGTATTTCCATTTTGTATCTTATTATTTTATGCAGGCAGTGGAGCAGTTCTTCAGGTTTGCTTGATTTTCACCATTACCTTTGAAGTAGATTCTTCTTTACTTTTTACTTGAGGGCGACTCAAGAGGCAGGTGAGTAAACACCTGATAGCCGGTCTGAGCACGGAAAAATCGTACCTCACCAACATGGTGTTGGGTAGCCCGCTCGCGGCACTTCCTCAGTTATTCTTATTCCACATTCTCACACTTTCTCTTGAAAGCACGCAGCAAACCGTCGGCGATAGTTGTAGAAGAAATCACATGCTACAAAATAAGATGACAAGCTAGTAAAGAAGAGACATCCATGGACTATCGTTGACAGCGTCAGTTGTCACTGATTGTAAGTCAAACAGAGAGCGAGTTGATAATTTTCCCTTGGGATGAGAAACAGAATTAAGGTGTTTTCGATAGTTAGGTTAATCGAACCGACGTTCCTACGGAAGTCGATTCTAGGGGGAAGCTAATGTAACAGCTTAGGTTGGTTGGTTAAGAGTTGACCCCAAACAACCAAGCATATGCCAAAACAGTATTGTTCAAGTATTCATCCACTTCCTTGTTTTGTATAAGCGTTATATTCCCTATTATCTTATATTGAATGTTGAGAGCCTTTGTTTGTCTGAACAGATAATCCCACGCTCCACTGTCATCGCGCTGAGATCGAAATAAAGACCTATTCACTACTTCTCTGGTTTCTTCTATCAATAGCCCGAGGGTTACTTTAAGGCACGAAACGTATAGCTCAGGATAGATTCTTTAGAACTGAAATGGTACTTTTGTTGCGTAAGAGCACAGCAAAAGTTTGATAAATGCAAATCACGTTAGGACTAAACTTCCTGTTCGAAAAGCGCGCGTTTACTAATCAAATAATTTGTTCTGTGAGTCTTTTCCGTTGATTTTGACTTAATTAACTTTACTATAAATACCTACCCGAGTGTTCTCGGTCACACATTTTCACCAGGTCATTAGTGAGTACGCCGTGCTACTCATCCTTTACGACCGTTAACCAGCTAAGACAGAATGCTTTTCGACAAATAGATAGCTTTCCGAACATATTTACGGCCATCTCTGTTTCGACTTCTGATTTGATCTGATTGACATACTTTTAATATGAAGGTGTTACATGCAAATGCGTTGTGGTGGGCATGAATTTGGAAACTGTGAGTCCGTTCGCTGACAGATGATCAGTTTCCATTCGAGGATATCCATTTCCGCGTACCTATGTGCAGCGGTTACTATGATTCGGCAATTACTAACGCTACCACATACAAGACTTTTGGGGAAACGAGGATGCTCCCTTAGTAGCCATACAGAAGAAAACCACATGATCATGATGAAGGATCTTGAACACTCTTATGGCTACAACAGTGGAGGAGATTAAAAGTGAATGACCACTGGGAGGTGGTGGAGGATTTCACTTTGGGTGCGGTCTAAAACAATCTACCCCATGGTAAGCACGCACCGAGAAAGCAAAGATCCTGGGTCAAGAGACATACGAAACACCTAATACGGGTCGCGACTCTTACTTAGCACTAAGAAATAGAAGCACTGTCAAAGTCCACAGAGAAAGATGTTTTCAGGCTAACCTCACTCCAAATATCTTCACAAACCAAGGGATCTGCAACCAAGGGAGCAGCTTCCGAAGATCATTAACAGGGATAAAGAAGCCTACGTTGTCAACTCTGTAGTCCAAATGAACTTGCAGCCTGAAGGTGCGAAACTCCTCTCAACTCTAGTGCCACTTGATGGTTTGAGAAAAATCCAGCCAACTCTCGGTCTAGTATTATAGAAATCCCAGCATCCAGGAAAGTCACCCAGCCTGAAATCCTGAAACAGTCTGTGGAAGCTATCAGAATACCAATATGTGAGATTTTCAGGCATTCACTAGATTTACGCCAACTTACAAGAGAATAGAGACAAACACCTCTCTCTTCAGCCTTCAAAGGTGATCACAGATAAACCTAGCCTGTTGCAGACCAGTCGTATGACTTCCAGTACTGTCAAAAGTAACAGAAGGATTGGTCAACAAACAGATGAGGCAATGTATGGATAAAAACAGCATTCTCTATTAGGTTTAACACGGGTTTAGGAAAAAAATCATGTAGGTTCAATCTACTAGTAACATGAGAACACTAGACCACTCCTGTACTCGATTTTTATCAATAACCTGTTAGATGAAATTAGTTCTGTGGCACTGACCTATGCAGATGATGCAAGAAACTGGGGGTTCACAAGAAGTCAAAAAGATCCACTTGAGCTTCTAAAGGACCACACTACAATAGAAGAGTGAACAGTAGACAACGGGTTAAAATTTAACTTGTCGAAATGTCATATGATGAACATTCTGCCCCATTTGGCACAAAGCACTTAAAGCCTACTTGGAAGTCCGTTTTAGATTGTCTCCTTGAAGAGTGATCTCTGGATTGTAATTACCGAGAGCTTAGACAACGGTCCGAATTGCACAGAGGATGCAAACAAGTCAGACGCAGCTCTCCAATTCATGTGTAGACAATTTGGGGCAACCACCTCAGGGTTGTTCCCAACACTGCTGAAAACATATGCAGTCTCACCTCGAAGTTCGCAATATCATCGCCTACACTCTTTAAAAAGAGAGGTGTAAATCTCTTAAACCAAGCACAGAGGCGGGCAACCAAGTGAGTGATAGATCCAAATCCTAAAGGAAAGACTTCAACACATGGGATTACTCTTGTTGAGCTACAGGAGACGAAAGGGAGACCTGACAATAGCATACAACATATTATGTACGCCAAGCAATCCGAACACGAGATATTACCAAAACATCATCGCCACACTCCTTGAGAAAACCCTCAAAAGATTGCACATCAAATAGCAAATACACGCATACGCCTTCATTTTTTCTCACTCAGAGTTGCCTCTATTTGAAACACCCTCCCAGCCGAAGTGACCACAGTCCTTCTTTGAGTAGCTTCAAGAGGAGAATCAAAAAACACGTACTCACCCATGGATCACCATTCCCCTCTTAGATCAGAGGCACCACTCCTCTCTCAATATCAGGAAAAGTTTTCAACGGGGTTTCGCTAAAGTGAATGAAGGACACCGCAGATGCCCAAATTCGAGAGCAACAGGCCTGATTCCGTAAGGATCGATCGTATATGGACCAAATCGCAACACTATGGATCATTTTGGAACAGTTATTTGAGTGAGATTCATCACTCTACTTAAATTTCATTGAACACGAGAAAGCATTTGATAGCGAGGAATGGACAACACTTTGAAGGCTTCTTCGACACTATGGCGAGACTGAAAAGATAGTCAATATCATACGGCATTCCCATGATGGATTTGTAGAATTATAGTCTACTTCGTCATGAGTACCGCTCTAATAATAGACCGAATCCTAAAATGGTAGATTTGTCATTGATATAACTGCCCGATCTATAAGATTTTACATGGAAGCCACATCATCGTCTACACCAAGTCATTGCACCGTAACAACTACTAATGCATGATGGAGAAAAAGCTCAGGCTAGAGATAGAACAACATCCTTAATACGAATAAAAAATAACATTCAACAGGGACTATGCCTACAAGGCCGAGCTGTGCCATCCGATCAATTCGAATTAATTCAATTCATTGTTCCCATCTTCTTCATCGTTAGGTTTTTCTCTGCCTTAAATGTTGAACATCTATTTTCCTAAGTGTTTTCTGTTTAGCTTTGAGGATTGTGTGATTAGAACCCAATGGCACCACAGATTCCACTGCGAAATGGCGCGTAAAGGACAGCTGACAGACTCGTTCGAAGTAAAAACCAGAGTCAGACAAGGTTTCATACTCTTATTCTTTCTCTTTTTCCTGGTGATCGAGTATATAACGAAGATGTCAGCATTTGGAGGGAAGCATGGGATATAATAGACGTCTAAGATACAGCCAGACGATCTAGGCTTCTCAGATGATCTGGCTCTTCTATCGCACACGTGACAATAAATGCAGGAGAAAACGACCAGTGTAGCAGAAGTAGGTCTCAACGTACACAAAAAGAAAAGAAATATTCTCCGATACAATACAACATGCACCAATCAAATCATAATTGACGGAGAAGCCTTGGAAGATGTAAAAACCCTCACATATCTGTACAGCATCATTGATGAACTCTTTGGATCCCGTGCAGATATGAAGGTGTGGATCGGTGAAGCATGATCAGCATATTTACAACTGAAGAACATCTGGCTATCACAGTTGAATACTGAAGAATACATGGAACTGAACCGAAACAATAATAAAAAGGCACAATGAACTCAATTAATTAACAGAAGATTGCGGGAAAGATATTGGGAATTGAAGTTTGGAGCGCTAGTTGCAATATGTGTGCTACACGATCTGCTGTTCGTGAATCTGATTCAGACTCGAGGGATTTCAGAATTTTCAGTGTCAAGAGACTTTCATACTTTAAGATACCATCGGAATTTAGAGTAAGTTTGCGAGCGGTATCACATCTTCTAGGAGGGTAGATGTCGTAGTGTTGCTGAATTTGAAAAGCTAAACCGCATAGGTGAAGGGACATATGGTATTGTCTGTAAGTATGAAAATTTAGCTAATAACTTAGACCGTGCTCGTGATACTGTATCAAAAGAGGTTGTGGCTCTGAAGAAAGTCCGAATGGAAAATGTTCGAGATGGCAAGTTTTCCTCACTCTTGAGTTATGTACAACAGGTATCCCTATTAGCAGTTTGCGTGAAATCACTTTGTTGCTAAGTATAAAGCACCCGAATGTTGTTCACTTGAGAGAAGTCGTTGTTGGGAGGAGCTTAGATAGGTATGTTCTAGTGATATCGATCATTTTCAGTATCTTCCTTGTTATGGAGTATTGTGAACAGGATATGGCAAGTTTACTTGATAACATGCCTAATCCTTTCACCGAGTCTCAGGTAATGTGTGGTTAAAATCCTAATTTGTACTGTAGGTTAAATGCATCATGCTTCAGATTTTCAAAGGTCTGAGATATCTTCATGAAAACTTTATAATCCACAGGGACTTAAAAGTCTCCAACCTGTTAATGAATGACAAGGGTCTTGTCAAAATAGCGGACTTTGGACTGTCACGCCCTACTCATTCCCATAATCCCATGACTCCATGCGTTGTTACATTATGGTGAGAAGGTTCACTTCAAATTTTTCGTTTATTTTTATCAATAAGACTTATTTGCGTTCTCATACTAAGATCCAGCTATAGAACAGTTGATGTTTTCACTAAGTTTACGTGGTTGTTACGGAAATGACTGACAATCGCAAAGACAAATGACTAAGATAGCTTCATATTATTAACAATCTGGCTTAAATTGGTTATCAGTAGACAGGAAAATCGCCTGGTTTGAGACTAATGTGAGAATATCCGCCAAGTATTTCAATCCCAGTTGACACACTCAACTAAAACACGTCATATCTCAGGAATCACTTAACGCTCTCACAGTTTTTTCCTGCAATCAGGATTATGGTCAAATTAACGAAAACTGAATTGCACGGATCAATATGGTTGTATCGTGTTTTTTATTTGTATCTTACGGCCTCGATCAGTCCCAATCGATGCCGTCAAACTAAAAGACATTACTCATTATTTCAGTCTTTAGTAATAACAATGATAGGTCGCTTTACTTGTGTTCATCCCTCCAACTTGTCTTCAAGTGGAAAACCAGCCTCTCCTTAGAAGTGTTCACTGATCGAGTCGATACCACTTGTTCGAGTAGGATATTTCAGTCACTGACTGCTCGATAAAAACAAGATCCAACTCTGAGTTTATCCAGCTGCCGTTTACGAAACTTTTCAATCGCCCAAATGATTGGTCCTGTCGGAAACAAAGGCTAAGACATGTTAACGCAGAAATCATTATTTAAGATACGGAGCGTCAATATGAGGTTGTGTCGAGTTCTACAATAAGATAAGGGTTAAAGGGCTAAACGTCTTAAACGCTTGTCACAGGAGAGTTTAGAATGATCAGTCACCAACTTAATTCTCACACGTTAAATGCTCGAGTATGATTACTTACGTACCTATGCCTGTTATTCCCAATGGAGCATAGGCCGCCGACCAGCATTCTACAACCCACTCTGTCCTGGGCCTTCCTTTCTAGTTCTATCCAATTGTTGTTCATTCTTCTCATGTCTGTCTCCATTTCTCGGTTTAATATGTTCTTTGGTCTTCCTCTTTTCCTTTAATTTTGAGGATTCCAAGTGGGGGCTTGCAGGTGGGTGCTTTCCCCAATGTGTGTCTTATCCACTGAGTGTGATAGGATTCCTAATATGAGTAGGAATTACTACTTGGCTGCAATTCTCTAAGTGAGGCCTCATAGTCTAAATATAAAACCCGAAATATGTCTTCATCAAAGCACTAGAATACTAGATGAAATAACCATAACATTCAAAATCTTTTGCTGCAATTGTTCTCGATACACAACTTACTACTACTGACTGCTGTCTCCGAAGGATTGCTGACATTCAGTGGCAACACCATGTCAGTAATGCAGAGGTTCGGCATCGTGTGTTCGGACACAGAGATGATAACTCAATTGGTGTCACCATCTTGAAACACCGACTTCGGTGGCTTGGACATGTTCTCCGAATGTCGTCCCAGAGAATTCCACGTCGTGCATTATTTGCCGACTCTGGGACTGGTTGGAAGAAGCGGAGAGGTGGTCAGTGCATGACATGGTGTCGTGGCATGAAAGAAAGCTGCAAAGGACTGGCTTGTGTCGGTCCTTCACGACTCCCTGGTTGGGGTCCGAGAGATGGTGCTACACAGTGGCTAGAGACGTTATCAGATATGGCTCAGAATAGATGCCAGTGGCGATCCTGCTGTAATCTTCTTTTACTTTCTTCATAAAAGGTGGTTGTGTCTCCTTTACCTGAAAGATTTCTTCTGATTGTACCTCTTCGTCATTACTCTCTTTTTCTTTTGCGTTCCTTAGTTGTTTTTTTTTCTTTCTACTTCTCTTCGAATTCCCATTGTTTTGTGTGGCGCATATATATTGGCGCTCTCTTGTACCAATATTTATGTGTTCAAATAAATAAATAAATAAATAATAGTGAAAGCGACGTGCAGTTTGTAGTATACTAGTAACCAATGCCGTGTCCAGTGTACACTAGCACGCTTTCTAAAATTAATTTCCAAACCTGGACTTTGGGATTATGAAGTCAGTCCGTCTAGATCAGTTTGGAAATCAAAATAACCAGTCTGACTACTTATTTTCCTCTATACTTTAACATCATCTGCAAACAAGTGTAGATGATTTAAGCAGTCTTGGTGATTCAATGGAGAGTAGAAAAATAAGGGAGCTAGGATTGTCCTATGTGACACTCCTGCGTTGCTCAGCCGTTGACAGATTATATGATTCTGCGTGACTTGGTAACTTAACACGAATTATTTCCCTAAACATCTTAACTACTGTGTAATGTAAGAAAACAATTGTTTTTGTCAAGTACGACCATCGTGCACCAACTGTCTTTCTTAAGTAACGAGTCATTTAGCTATAATTATTTGATGTATTTTCCGGCTTTTACGTTGACCATGGGGTGTACGGTGTTTGTACGGCCTCGAATATGGATTTAAAATCACTCTATTCATTTTCATTCTACTTATCTGCATTGACTGATCAATTTATTGAGACCACACACTCTCCGATTGCCTGAATGTTGGCTAGCCAGATATTGGGATGATGTACAGTAGATTCATACTGTACATTGTTTCCGAAACTTGAACTACAATACAAGGTGATCGCTGTTTGCCGGTGGGATTAGGTACTGAACGTCGGTATGGTGTGGTGTGGTATGAAGAAAAATTCCAACTACGACGATTCATATTCTAAGCCAATATATGTCGCTTTTGCGATACACTATACAAGTACGCACTAAATAATAGTTGATAGTGGGCTGCCGTTCAAACATTCACCTGAAGCTATAAGCTCTATCCAAATAATAAGTGGTGCGTTGAAATTCCCAACGATAAGATAGCAACCAACCTTACTCAACGTCTATATATGAGTTAGGGAAAAGCCAGTATGTTTAGGTCGGACGATTTACTTTTAGGACTACGAGCGTTTGTGTACACACATCCAAGGTGTTTGGAGAATCACGCCTATCTAGGTCTCGGAAGTATTGTCTTTTAAGATAACTACCCGTAAACCTAAATTTCAAGGTTTGTTTCACCTTTTTACTTTCGAGTTTTCAACTCAGTAACAGCAGTCCTCAAGTGACCAATATCACCAAATACAAATATTCGAGTAACGGGTTTTGTATGCGTTATTTGGTATCAATTCTCTTTCCTTGTTATTTCCGAGTACTGACTTTAACGTCCTCTTTTGGTTGGGCATCGCCTCTAACCTATTTAACGAGTCTTTTTACAATAGTTATTTGTACTCCCGAAACCTCTTCTGGCAGTACGTTTGTGATAGCAGATTCTACCAACTGCAGATTATGCGCATACCGTCTAATAGACTCATTGTTTTTTGACTTCAGATTCCAAATAATTAAACTCGAGACGGACTTGACTTCATTGAATATCATATTCACGGCTTTCATTCGTGTTTCAACCGTTCTCTCCTAACTACGTATCGGAAGCTTTTCTTTAATTTTCCTCTTTGTTTTGACTTTTGGAGTAGTACATTCATTTATAATATCCAATTTGCTTTGGGAGAGATTTTTGCTCCCTACGAATCTTATGGTTGCACTTACCTCATCAGCAGTGTTTGTGGTAAGCGCACTGTCGATGAGTGGTAGTTACGTTTTCTTGACAGTGCGAGGTTTTTAGAGATTGTGCGTGATCGTAGTTTGGACAGAGGTTTTATCTCCTTCTGGCGTGTCGAAAATGGTAGTCTCAGCTCTTACATCAGGAATAAGAGGTTAGCCGACAACACTAACTATTGCATTTGTAGATTCCTTGTCGTCCGATGTCAAACTTAGTAAGCAAGCATCGTCGCTTGGCGTCTTCGTCAGAATGGGAAGCTCCAAGATTTCATCTAGGAGAATCGCCTTAGTTAAGCAACGTTCTCTACATAACCAAAGTAAAGCCAGTATGCTGGAACGTTTATGTGAGGCCGGTAATAGATTGGTACACATTTTACGAATCACTTCTTACTGCTGCCACACTCCATGCCATCCTCAACAGAGTAAAGATATAATGGCCGACCACATCGATGAATATAAATGACCATTTTAATCAGTATGATGTAGAGAGAACAAGAAAAAGTTACGGAAGTGCTGGTCACAAAGTGTGGGAAAACAATAACGTTACTAATGTAGCTATGAAGGTATACAGAAATGGTGACTAACTAGTGGCAGTTGAGGCACCAAAACGTCAAAAACCTTAACAGACGCAACTCTATAAAAAAAACGGGAGAACAGTCAATACGAATACACAGATACGAAAAACAAAAATAATTCAACTAGTGTAAAATGAAATGAAAATCTTATGAAAAAGTATTTTACAGACTCAAACATCTCTAGAAGCCCTAAATATAAGTTTGAATCCAACTTCTGCTACGATAAGCATAACAGAAATCTAACATCTCAAAACGTAAAAAATCACTTCCTTTTTTCGATTCGTGCGCAAGATCACCTATTGTTCTACAACAAACTGACGTAGAAACATTTGGCAACTTTGCCGCTCCTTTGTAATATATTTTCAGACCAGTTTTCAGGCTCACTGATTAGATTGTGGAAATCATTTGCAGGCTTACATTCCTTTGACACTACAAACTCCTATTTCATAACTTTGTAACTAGTTTTTTAGAATGAATACTCTCTCCATTCCTTATCTGGTTAACATCCAGGTCAGAGTTTCAGCTTTATGACGTTTGTACTCGACCTTAATTTCATATTCTGACACCACTTCACCGATGTAAACAAAGCAGTATCGCCTCGTCTGCAGTCAGTCAATCGTAAACTACTCACAACTTAACACATATATGTCGATCCAAGTCCTTATCGGAGAAAGTTAACCAGGTGAATATAAGCGAGAAATCGCTATCAAGTGCAGTAAAAAATAACTTCGAAATACACTTTGCAAGGATTTATTTAAACCGAAGTATAACAATCTAAAAAGCTTAAGATTCACAGTAGGATTAAAAGTGACTGCATCTATTTCTTTGCGACTGATATCGAGTAATCTTTCCTACAGCTTCCATCCACCGATAACAGTTGCCTCAAAAACTACGATCAGGAAGTCTGCATCTTTTGACATAGGTCAAACAGTTAATGACTCAATGTATTAATATTCTGTTGATTTAGATACCCCTAAGTCTTTCTAAACTGCTCATACTCTAGCCAGAATAGCACAACGGAAATGATCAGAGTTTGCGAATGCGTTGCACATCCCAGCCACTATAGTCAATAAGAGCTCATAGTATCTAATCTACCTAGTGTCTTGATGGTTTTCTTACATAGGATTTCAATATTTTTAAGTCCATGTGTTTGCTCGCTTGTTTCCACGAATATGGTATTCTGTGGATTGAAGTTATACATGATTATTGAATTCACAGTTGCCTATAATTTTTTAACTCGTAGGTACCGAGCACCGGAAATTTTACTTGGCGATAAAAACCAGACTAAAGCTGTTGATATATGGTTAGTTCAAATAAATTTGTGTCATCCCAAATTTGAAATATCAGGTCAGCTGGCTGTATTATGGGTGAGCTTTTATTACACAAACCACTTCTTCCTGGGAAGACAGAGGTTCACCAATTGGAGTTAATTATTGATTTACTGGGCACTCCGAATGATCAAATTTGGCCGGTATGTTCAAGTTATGCACTTACTTGTCTTCACTCTAGAATCTTTCCAAATTACCAGCATTAGAAAAGATAAATCTGAAAAAGCAACCGTAAGTTTGCATTATCGATCATTTGTTATCTTAAGTGTTTAGAATCTCTTGTTACGTTTTATTTGTCTTACTTCATTTTGTGTGAGCTTCCTGGTCGTGGCACCGTTACGTCTATAAATTCCACTAATCATAATCTAGTTTTAAGGTGATTTGATGGTAATTGATAGGTTTAAATATTCATTTAATAATCCAATTTATTTATCATATTCTTATGAGAGTTTTCATTTTAGTAAACAACTGGCATTGAGCTACAACACTTGATTTATGGTCCTAGTGACGTTTGCTAAAAGCCCTGTATAACTAAAGATCAACTATCTCTGATGTCCTCATTCCTAATTCTTAGAGTAGAAAATCATAGAACTAAAATAGATATTTCGGCTAAGATTTTTTCTACGATAAGATACCAAAGAAAAGAGATCTGAGAAAATGTGAAAACTACAGAGGCATCACACTAATATCTGAACCAGGAAACGTTTACAGCATAGTACTGCTGAACCGAATGAAGGATTCGGTGGATACTCAACTTCGAGATCAACAGTCCGGATTACGTAAGAATCTGTTGTGTATCGACCAAGTTGCAACACTACGAATCACCGTTGAACAACCAATTGAATGGAACTCGTCACTATAAATCAACTTCCTTTACTATGAAAAGGTGTTTAACAGTGTGGAACCTTATGGGACTTCCTTCAACATTATGGTGTGAGTAGTTGAGAAGATCAACAACATACAGAATTCATAAGACGGACTACATTACAAAGTCCCTTTCTCTTCCTTCTGGTAGTTGACTGGATTATGAAGACCTCGACATCTGAGGGAAGCACAGAATACAATGGACAGCTTGGATGCGACTAGACGATTTGAACTTCTCAAATGACCTGGTCCTTCTATCCCATACACACGAACAAATGCAGGTCAAGACAACCAGTGTATCAGCAGCCTCTGCATCAGTGAGCCTCAACACATACTAGAGAAAAGGCGAGATCCTCGATTACATTACGGAGACTAAAACGGAATACATGTTTTATTAAGAACCAGAGAGGATGTATACATACAAATCCCAATCAACATATCATTCTGGGTTTATGTTATGGCCTATCCACTCACAAAGTTGTTTAATATATTTTCTGTCTCATTGATTTCCTTTTGTTATTGCGTAGTATGTTAACCTAGATCGATGAGTGTTGGCGATAGGTTTTCCTGTTATTTATCTGTTTGTTCGCTGCCAAGTCTTTTAATAGATCACTAGTCTCGTCATTCGGTGTTACACCTCACTAGTAGTGATTAACGTTTATTATTAATTCATTCGTAAGCTGTAATATTATTGACATCATATTTTCAACAGTTCACATCAAGTGTGCTTCACAACCCAAACACAAGACTACACAGTATTTAGGTAGAATTAAATAAATGAAAATCGTATTTTGCTTCATTCTTCTGTTATCAATCTATAACTCATTTAACTTACTATTCTTTTGATTTGTACGCAAATTATTTTCAAAGTTTTATTTACGTAATTTTTTCATTCGTGTTTTCCAGGTACAATAATTTGCGTCATACTTTCCCATGGTTATCAGATGCTGGTTTGCGTTTACTAAACTTTCTGTTCATGTATGACCCGTCTAAACGGGCTCGGGCTCGTGAGTGCTGTCAGAGTTCTTATTTCCGTGAACATCCTTTACGTGAGTGATTGAATAAAGCTATTATTATTATTATTATTATTATTCCATGCAATGTCTTTATCAATATTTAATTTAATTTAATGAACATCTATTTTAATTCGCTTCGCATTAAGCCTAATGTTGAGATGCAAAATCGTGGTATTTTATTTTTATACACATTGGAAGTTAACGAAAATTATATAAATGATTTGCAGCAAGTTGAGGTTAATAAATGTATTCATGTGTTAACAAATAACAAAACTCAAATCAAATCTCACCCCCCCCACCAATCTGTACGTAATTAGTAAATTGCGATACTCCATATAAAACTAGCCGTCTTGAACATATATTTGAAAATTGTGTCTTATTGCTTTGTTCTGACAAAACAAGTTTTAATAAACCGTTTACATCTGTATAGTTATTAACTGGTGCCAATGGGACAGTCTGGGAATGGCTTTTCTACATTAAGTTTGCATAAAAACGTAACTTAAAACTCAATACGTTCCATTAAGTTTTTTGAAACCATTTTACTCGGTACTGGTTTAAAGCACAATTTACAATCTTTATTTCATTTTTAATTTCAATTATCAATATATTTAGTTGGTATGTAGTATTTATTTAACTAAAGCGATACAGTAATCTTTAAAAACAAATAACATGTTCTTAATTTCCCTTATTTATCGATAACAGCATGCGAACCTGATATGATGCCATCTTTTCCTCAACATCGATTGAAGCGTAAGAATTCTCCTGGTGAATATGATAACAAAGGTGTTAATCCAGCCCAAGATCAAGCTGCTGGATTATTTGATGCTGCCTTCGATAGGATTGTGAGTGTTTATCTAAAGAATTTTCAATAAGAACTACATACTTGACTTTTATTGGTCAATTTTCCGAAATTTTTGAATTCCTTCACTAATCGTTCATTAATCTTTCAAATAGTTGTTAATAATTTGTAGGCGTCGTGATTTTTAGTCGTTAATATCATGTTTTATAGAATTGTTTAGACGGAAAATCATTGATTTCCAGTCTCACTTTAATCTGCTTATTAAATAGCTTCAGTTGACGTTTAAACAATAAAAACTAAATAATTGTTGTTACTTTAGTTTTTTGTTAAACGAATTTGTAGCATTGATTGGACTTAATGTATAAGTGGTAAATAGTTTTATTAAACAGTCGTGTTTCTGTACTCGGAAATCGAAAAAAGTCCTATTCCCCGCCATCTATCGTTTGTTTTCTCATTCAATAAATAATACTCAACAGAAACTCATTTATTCATTGTATCAAGCGAAGCTCAATTATAACTATCTATTTATACACTTTAAAGCTGTGACTTAACAGTTTGGGTTCTCAATTTTCAATCAGTGAATCTTGAATCCAGAGCTTATTGATTGTACCGCTATTTATATGGCTAACTATCAATAACACCAACACTTAGGGTTTCTCACAAACTAGGAAGTTGAATGTGGTTGCTTTGATGAATAATTGTTTGATACGAATGTATATGTGTACCGTCGATTGTTTAACAAATTACCTCTTACAGATCCTTTCTGTTTCATTACTTCTTGTCATAATCCTTACAGCTTAACCCATGAAAAAGTGGTTATAGGGAGTTTAATTATAATACTTGTTCTATGTAAGTAGGCAACAGTGATTAAAAAACTGCACTTCCATAAATGTTCATCGATCTGTATCATATTTACTCTAAATAATATTAAAAATTCCTATGTGACTATTTTGAAATTCTATTTTTCTTTGCTATTAAGCGTAATTCATCAATTATAAATTTTGTATGTTAATCAAAGCTGTATGCATTTTGTTGTTTTGCTTCTAGGTGAAGAAACGTCGAGCTTAAACAGAACCAACACTATAAATTAAAAAAAAATTTATTTATATAATACATTTGTGCATTTCTAATTTCTTGGTGTTTTTATTTTGTCCTCTTTAGTCATTCATAACTGTCAATATTTACGTCCATAAAAATCATAATTAACTTCTTACCGTAGTAATATTCTAACGCTAATTTATCCTTTATATGGATACTACTAAGAAAAGAAATATATGGTTCTAAAGCATTTTCCCTCTTAGTGTACAAGTGTTTGGCTTTGCCACACCATGATAAAGGAAATGATGATCGTGTAGAGAAGAGCGAAGATCGGTAATGAGTTTTGAAGGCTAAATTTCCAAAGAGTATGCATTCAATGTGGATTTTGTTACTTTACAAGACATCTTAGATTGCTCATGCAAAATTAAAGAAGAAACTACATACAGACGACGGATCTTTTCCACTGTATCACACCCATCTAATAACACCGGCTTCTAGTGCTGTTATGCTCTGAGGTCTACCAAAAAGTTAGACGCATTTTTTACAGGATCATAACCCGCTACATGTGTAAGAAGACTATATATATCCCAGATGTATGTCAGGGTCTTGCTAACGTTCATAAGTCGTTCCAACCAATAACTTATCTTCAATGTTTCTTATCTAGCCTTCAGTTTGTGTACACAGCCACATGATATGTCTGGATTCACCTAGCATATGAACCGTCCCTCCCACCATACAACAAATAATGATGAAACAACGGATACCAAAGAAGTGCATTTATCTTTTTCAATTAGCAATGACTAATAATCTATCCACTGAAACATCAAATCAAAGTTGTTATACTTTAGGTCAAATAATGTTTTGTGTTTAGAACTAATTAACATCAATCAGTAAGGCGAGAATTCACGTTCTCCGTGTAAATGGAACCCGTTCATCAGTCACAAGTGATATGTTTCTGACCGTATAAAATGGAATAAAGTGCATCTAAGCCAGTTACTTTGTCATAACCTTGCCGACGTAACGCAGGAAGTTGGACAGTTCAAATCTATCAAGGTGGTACTTAATACATAAATATCTCCAAAAACAAGGCAATAGATTTCCCTCCTTACTTGATAAAATGATAAATTTTCCATACGATCTATCTGCAAATGCCATTGTCGACAATTAATCTCATTAACATGGCCTTTTCAGCAGTGATTTACGACAATTCACGGAAAGCCTATATACCAGTGAGCAAAACAACTAATCTGAGATCAAGTGTTATGATCATATACAACGAATCTTTCTGATAAATTGCTGTGAAGCAAAAGCAAGGAACAATTTAGTATGAAGTGGATTTATTTTGTGTTCTCTAAATTTTTCACACACACACACACACATTTTGTAAATAAAATGTTATCTCATTCGAAACATTCACCCAGTTGTCTGCTTACTGATAGAGAACTATCACAAATCTATGGTTTCCACCAATAAAGAAATAAATCGGTTACATCCTCCTGGGCTAAAAATAATTATCGAACTGCTCTCATGGTACTCCTCCGATTCACGTTTCTGCAAAGTACAGGTACAATGTGAAATGTCATAAAAATCGATTATTTTTGTTACGGAAACGGAATGGCAGCGATACTCTAATTAAATCTTCTATACCACAAACAACAGCAGTACATTCCCTCCAAGCCCCAGCTACCCCAAATGACCAATTTGTTGGGTTAAAACATGAGTCGACCAAAATCAACCAAACACTGAAAGCTTGGAAGCGCCGTCTCCTCAGAAGTGCGCATTCACGAACCCGCGATTAAGAATCGAACCCAGGACTTGCATGCGAATGCTTAACCTCTTATACAATGAGGTACACTTGGTGTGCACCAGACGACAGAAAGTTCTACATAGTGTAGATTCGATCAGTCACACCAAATATCAGTTTTTCAAGACGCAACAACTAATGTGGCTAACACTCAACCAATCAATGGATGAACAATTAAAAAAAACTCGACTCTGAGCAATTCTTTCCAGTTGCCATTCATCCTTTTAATGTCTACTTCCAATTCTCGACGCAATGTATTGCTTCGGCTTTCGCTCTTTCGATTCCCTTCAGCACTTGCCTTGTGATGCAGTTTGATGATTTCCGCAATGTATGTCTCACGTACCACCTCCAGCGTCTTTTCCTAGTTTCCTCTTTAAGTGGAAGTTGATTTGTTCTCTCTCACAGTAAGCTGCTGCTGATGTTATCCTGCCAACGTACATTGTATATCTTGCGTAGACAACTGTTTTTATAAAGACTTGTACCATTTTGATGATAGTTGGAGTTCTCCAAGTCCCAACTTCCTACAGTAGAACTGTCTTGATGTTCCTACAGAAGATACTCACTTTCGTATTGGTTGACAGTTGTTTTGAGTTCCATCCTTCAATTAAAGAATGCTACACTTGTTTTTCCAATCCTCGCCTTTACGTCTGCATCCGGTCATCCTTGTTCACCGATGGTGCTGAACAGTTGAGCACGAGGAAGTTTACTATTCTTCCAAGGTTTCTCCATCAAGTTTGATTGGTTTGGTTGATGTTCTGCGTGTTGTAATCGAGGATCTCGCCTTTTCTCTAGTATGTGTTGAGGCTCACTGATGCAGAGGCTGCTGATACACTGGTTGTCTTGACCTGCATTTGTTCGTGTGTATGGGATAGAAGGACCAGGTCATTTGAGAAGTTCAAATCGTCTAGTCGCATCCAAGCTGTCCATTGTATTCTGTGCTTCCCTCAGATGTCGAGGTCTTCATAATCCAGTCAACTACCAGAAGGAAGAGAAAGGGACTTTGTAATGTAGTCCGTCTTATGAATTCTGTATGTTGTTGATCTTCTCAACTACTCACACCATAATGTTGAAGGAAGTCCCATAAGGTTCCACACTGTTAAACACCTTTTCATAGTAAAGGAAGTTGATTTATAGTGACGAGTTCCATTCAATTGGTTGTTCAACGGTGATTCGTAGTGTTGCAACTTGGTCGATACACAACAGATTCTTACGTAATCCGGACTGTTGATCTCGAAGTTGAGTATCCACCGAATCCTTCATTCGGTTCAGCAGTACTATGCTGTAAACGTTTCCTGGTTCAGATATTAGTGTGATGCCTCTGTAGTTTTCACATTTTCTCAGATCCCCTTTCTTTGACGAGGTGTTCTTAACAGTCAGTCGGCATTTGGTCTTCCTCTAAAATATTCTTGAGTAGAAAGTGGAACATGATTACGATTACTTCTATGCCTGACCAGTGCTCTAGCTGGTATATTGTCAGGTCCTGCTGCTTAACTACTCTTGCTTTGTCTGATGGTCACCTTGATTTCTTCGACTGTTAGCGGAGTGACATCTGTCGGGAGGTCTGTACGTGCTGCTTCGATGTCCGGTGGATTGAATTCAAAAGTTTCTCACAGTATTCTACCCATCTGTTCCTTTGTTGAGTCTCGGTAATTGGCTTGCCTTCTTTTTCCTTGACTGGTCTCTCTAGTCTACTATATTCCCATACTAGTTTCTTCGTTATGTCATTTATTTGTCAAGTTCTTTTCTGAGCACTTCGCTAAGATCGATTGCAGCCTCTCGTAAAACTGATCTTTATTGCCTTCATTGCTAGGTGCATAACATTGGATAGTATTCAGTGTAATCCCCTCCTTATTTGTTTTGAACGATGCTTTGATCATTCTGGATTTATGAAATCCCCATTCTGTAAGTGCATTTCATGCTTCTTTGGACAGCGTCAGAGCATCTGTCTCTAAGTGTGTGGTGCATTTTTCTTTTCGTGACAGGAGTACAGCAGTATCTCTCCCGTATCTTAGCTGTCTAGTCTAGGTTTCGCAGATTCCGAGAACCCCCAAGTTGTATCTCCTCATTTTTGTTGGTCTCACATCGTGAGAACACTCATAGGGGTGGTGACGCCATGCGCAACCTTCTCTTTTACCCGGGCTTGTGACCAGCAGTAGCCCTAGAAGAGTTTTCCTACCAATTAGCTACTCGTAATTGATATTCTTTTTAAACAATCTACTGTAATCCAGATCTTTCAATGTCATGGTAGTAGTATGTCTATCTATTAGATCACTTCACCTTGTAAAATAAGAGCTCTCTAGTAAATCCTAGTCTTATTTTCTCCGACTGCGTGTGTTTGTGTCAAAGCTGAATTATCATTCTATGTTAAATGACCGATTGATCTAATCGCGCTATTTTCGCTCCCATATCAGTAGTATTTTCCCGAAGATACTCGACACAATACTAAACATAATATGGCCACTAAAAAACCTATCCCACACCTCGTCTCCCAGTAAATTAAATAAGATCCATAAAATCAAAATAAAAAATACATGTTAATTGAATAAAATATCCAATTAGATGTAAAGAAAATCCAGTACACACATTCTTGTCTCAGTAAATCTATCATAAAGATTATTTTGAAGTTGTGAATTAGTACATTATTATCAGTATTTATTATTGCTATTTTGTGAAGATGAGGATGTGGTGGACATATTGTGAAGGCGTTTAACTAAATTTTCATCTAATAAATGACTATTATTATCATCATTATTATTTGATAATTTTGCTTTATTTGCACGGCCAAAACGTTGACAATTTTGACTGCCTTTAAACACTGAATTGACTTTATTTGATTCGGTTACTGGATATATTCTTTTTTCATGTGAATCTATTACAGATCCATTAGATATTGAGTATTTTTGCTTTTGTGGGGATTGTTGAAAATTTGATTTCGCTTTCAATGGAGAATCGGATTGTTTTCGTCGATATGGTGTTGTACTACAACTCTTTGTTTGATTCCCTGAGGATGACAAAGTACTTTTAGAAGTATAATTATTATTGATCCCAGGATCATTGTAGTTTGAATCTTTGGAAATGAAAAATTTAAATTCTAAATAATTAATGTATAAAGTAATATTTCTTGAATAGAAAACATTGTTTATAGATACGGAGAAAAAAAGTAAAATAAAAAACGTGGAAAACCGATTAGCAGCAATTTATCTGAGTTACATATTTCTACCGAGTATTTATCAAACAGTTGTTTTGGATTATTTATGGCTAATCAATTATTATTAGATCATTTTTTATCGATGAAATATAGTTTATTAACTATGAGTGTATTACTTAGATTTGTATAAA